TCTGTTGTGTATATTTGCAAATATTGCTCAAATAAATTTAAAATCAAATAAAGTGTACTTTTAAGGTAGATTTAACTTGACTGTATTACATTGATATTAAAACTTTATGAAATACGACAAAAAATATAATACAATTTTTGGAGTCCTTTTTGGCCAATTATCAATTATTACTATTTTGGCTAAAATCGTAAAAATTAAACTTTATAAATGTGTGTAGTTTTTTTCTAGTTTATTTGGTATTTGATTTAAAACATGCGAATTGCAATCTTCACAGATCAGAAAATTAAGAATTGAAAATATAGATCTATGAAATTAATAGTCTTTTTGTTTTAATAAATTTGCAGTATGCTACAATTTTATCTTTATTAAAAGAATAAAATGATACTACTTTAATTTTACAAACCATGCAAAAATTCTCAGAATGTCCAATTGTTTAGCAATTAAAAAAATCTGTTTTTAATGAATAAATTACTCAGTAATGTAAGATAAAAAATTTCAACCGAAATATGAACTTTATCAAAAACATTATAAACAAATTCGCCTACGTGTTAATATTTTATTAGACAAATAACTTGCTAACAAAAGTAAATTTAGTCAAAACTGCATATTTATTATTAATTTTTTCCTAGAATTAATTATTTAAATTTTGCAAAACTTGAGTTAAGGTAATAATTGTAATTTTTGCTGAGCATTCATTTATTGTGTAATAACTTTATAAATATAAATTTTGTTAAAACGGAGTGTTTAGTTTACAAAACAAGAGAATTACGTAGAAATTTACTAATATTTAATAATTATTATAATAATATACCTACTCGATGAATGTACACTATATTTTTTAAATTGACAGTTTTGACAAATATTTAGTTAATTTTGTTGCGTTTACTTAGTGGTCGTAGATAAAGTTACTTAATGCAAGGGCTGAAGTTACCTTAAGGTTAAAATTGAAAAAAGTGAAGTTAAAAGTTCATTTTCAAAATAGAAATTTCGATTTTAAAAAGACAATTTGACAAACCGATTGAAAAGATTTCTAAAACCAATTTTGGTAACTGTCTACACAAATATTTTTACCGATTATTAAAAAAAAAATATTATAATGTTGTTCGTTCATAAATTTTCTAGACACCCATTTTTATTAAACACTCGCCCCCAAGCTTCGCTCGTGCCTAATTAATATTCGTGACTAAAATGGCGTTTATCAAAGTTGATACATAATATACTATTAAAAAAATCCATAGATTGGACATTCCATCATTACGGATGGGACATTATTTTATCAACTTTCATTTTCAAAATTAATTATTGCCTTAAATAAAAAATCAATAATTGCTAACGGACTTTTGAGTCAAACATTTTTAAGTAGTGTGTAGAAAGATGGGTAACAGTAGACAGTACCAGTAGACAGTGTCTACAAAAATAATTTTAAGCAATTAAAAGGTTGTGTTGTTTATTTCACACTTTAGTTATTCGGATAAACATGTGAAATAAAAAAATTTTATTACGTATTCTGACCTCTCCATGGATCCATAGCATTATTTTATTTAAGAAAATACGCAAAAGATCTAATAAACAAAATTGCTTTTATCTTCCTGCAGAGTCCTTTAATTTAGGCTTTATTATTGTCAACGCTCACTACCAAAGTATTCGATTATCTCCTAATTTAGACCAATCAGGTAAAGTGTTTTACATCCTAGTCTGTAAAAAACCGCTAGGACCAATACAAATTTGAGACCTGTGACTCCGAAGCTATCTTATCTCACTTCATACTTTTAATAATTTTTATTATAATAATTATATATAATAATATTAAGTACTTTCCTAGTAATAATTTTTTGAATTTTGGCCGATGGGTATATTTTTCGTTAATTTTTTTTAATGTAATACATATATGTTTTTGTGACATAAACTAAGAAGTTTAAACAAAAATATATTAAACGTAACAAGACAAAATTGACTTTAAATTGACCAGAGCATAACCTCAATTATTAAAAAGAAATTACTTACAATTACTTAATAATACAGAAGAAGAATAAATATTTTAATTAAAAGCGGGAAGAGTGGTTCCATATATCGCGTCAGCAGAGAAAATGTCAACCGTAGAATAAATTTATGTAAATAACCTATAATAGCATATGCCAAACGCCAAACCTGACAAAATGTCGCAAACTTGATAACTTCAATGGAAGTAAATACAGGATTATTAAATGCTTGAAAAAAATATCCGCGCTCAGATCTGCAGCTTCGGCTAAGGCCTCGGTTTGGGAAGATATTTTAACCATTTTATAAAATATAATATTCATATTCTTTAAAATGATTGATATCTTTTTACAAAAATGTATTTTGACCTTTAAAATTGATTTTAAAAAATGACCAGTCAAAATTAATTTTTTTGAGTTGTACTGTTCTTATTCTCACCGACAATTATTAAAAGTATATTTAAAGTGAGGTTAAATAGCTCAGAGTTGTCATCAGTCCAAAAAGGTTTTTTACAGACTAAGGTTTAAAAAAACTTCACCTGATTGGTCTAAATTATTTTTACAGCCTATAAAAAGCTTGAAGATAAAAGTACTTTTTATCATTCTAAATGTACACGATCTATTTTGTTGAATTTATCTAATATTTATTTACAAACAAAACTACTATTTGATAATTTTAGTTAATATTATGAATAAATGCATGATCATTATTTAATACGTAGTAGGTAGACAATTTTTTATTTATACATGAATGTTTATTTAAAGTTTATCTATAAGACATAAAAATTAAGAATTCTGGTTAATAGTTTACTACGCAGAAATCACTATTATTAATTTTTAATTTCTCAAAATTGTGTCTTTAAGATATTATCTGTAAATGTTTTGGTTTTGTTATCCAATTTAAATAATTAAGTCTAATTTATATTACAATTATGTAAAATTTTACAGAAATGTAAGATTAATCTATAAGTATCAAAAGATGGATATTGTGTCACCGGAGTATAATTTTTTTAGATCTTACTGTAGAACTAGTAAAATGTACATCATTTTGCCTTCAAGTTATTTTTTATGGGTTAAAAATAATTTGAAATTTGAAATAAGTTTTATACTTTTATTGCCAAAATACCCCCTTTAGAAAATGAGATTTTTTACGACCGATTAAAAAGTAATTTTAAAAATTATTTTTAAAATATCTATCACGTTTTGATTTTTTGCTTTGTATTTTATAAACGGGATGTTAACAAGGTGTGTTCAGAAAATAACGGGAATTGTTAAATTCCGCGAGTTCGGAGGGTCCGGTTGTCATAAAATTTTCTTTATTATGTTGGTACACATGCCCCCGAAGTATGATAAAAACTTTAGCTGTTTTCATTGTTTACTTTGTCTGTGGCAGCCGCTAAGGTTAGACGTGTTTTATGTGCTCGGAGATTTTTCGTTCGTTAAAGGAAATGTATCAAAGAATTTGTATCCAATTTTGCTTAAAAAATGAAATAAATTCTGTGAAATGTTAACAAAGGCTTTTAGTGAGTCTGCTATAAGTAAAACAAGAGTTTACAAGTGGTATAAGAGTTTCCAAGATGGCCGTGAAGACGTTGAAGATGACGAACGGCCCGAACGCACAAGCACATTAACAACCGATAAAAACATGGAAAAAGTGGAAGAAATGGATATAAACCAACAGAGAAGTCGCTGATGATGTGGGTATATCGATTGGCTCATCCCATGAAATGTTTTGGGTATGAAACGCGTGGCAGCAAAATTTGTTCTAAAATTGTTAAATTTTGAACAAAATTTTTGGCCAAAAACAATACTGTAATAATGCCCCAGCCTTCATATTCGCCAGACATGCCTCTGTCTGACTTTTTCCTATTCCCAAAAATAAAGAGAACCTTAAAGGGCCGTCGTTTTGCAAGCATAGATGACATTAAAAGCGCATCGCTGAAAGAACTAAAGGCTATCCCAAAGATCGAGTTTTAGAAGTGTTTCGAGTATTGGAAGAAGAGCTGGCACATGTGCATAATATCCTATGGGGACTATTTTGAAGGCGACAACATTAATGTAGACGAATATATAAATATTTGTTTCAAAAAACGAAAATTCCCGATATTTTCTGAACACACCTCGTACATAAAGTTACATGTAAATTGCAATTTGCTATAATGCTTTTTTATTGAGATATAAAATTCGATTTTTTTAAATGGCTTTTTTAAAACTTATTTTTTCTTAGTCTGTCATAAAAAGTATACGTTTTTTGTTACATGTTATCCTCTAAAAAATATTTTTTAAATATTACACACACATCGTAAATAATGTTTAAACTATAATATGTCCTACGCGTTAATTAAATAAAAACGTTTTAATTGATATTTTACATTCCTTAAATGGTGAATTTTGACCTAAGAAATCATAAATATGATTTTTCAGTCTAATTTAAATAATCAAAATCAAAACTGGGCCATCATCATTTTGCGCACAAACTTTAATCAGGTCATTTATTGATATCAGTTCTTTTTACGTAGAATTTATCAATAATGGGCATTTTTCAATGAAAAGTTCAAATTGTATGGCTAATTTAAGAATCTCACTACCAAACGTTAACCTCTTACATCAGACAGTGCTTTGAATTTGACATTTGCCGAAGCGTCGACTTGATTTTGTTATGACTAATTTGGATACATGTGCTTTACGAAGGTTACTTGATGTTAACATCTTAATGTTATTGTATAGCAACTTCTAGTGATTAGAAAACAATAATATCAATAATAAAGAATATTACAAATACGAATTTTTTAATTTATTAACAATAATACGTTATTATTATTATGTAAAAGTAAAAATTGATTTTAACCCCGGCGCATTCGCCATTTTTGCAACGCGCAAGTTTTCAACCCAATAATTGAACGAGTAGGACTTTATTATTAACATAATTAATACAATAAACTTAAATAACAGAAGAGGGAGGGTTAACTTTTAATGTTGCTATTATTTAAAACTATTTTAATTAACACATTTTATTTTTTTTAGAATTATCAGAAGAACTTGCTCTTCAAAATGCCAAAGAAACCGAATCGTTACAGAGTGACCAAATTGATATATCTGAAGAAAATGACCTAGTTACATTTAAACTAAAGTATTTAGGTAAGTTTAATAAATGAATACTTTTTATTGAAATTAAAAAAAATTAACAATGCACTACTAGGTATATTTTATTTTAATTACAATAAAAAAACAGACTAACTTTTATTTACAAATGAAGAATGAAGATGAATTCAGCAAAAGTTATGTAAAATAAATACCTTTATATATAATTTTAACCATTTTTTTTAAATTTGTTGTCATATACAGTCTAAAAATTATTAATACAATCTTACGCGCTTTAACACCAAACTGTGTTATATCAAGTCCATTTTTACACAACTAGTGTATCGATTTCCTTTTTAAGTCATTTAATTTTCACACATGATTTGTGTAAGTTTTAAACAATTATAGTTATTTTAAAAACAAATTTGTGTTATTTTTTATTAGTTTAGCGTGTTAAATTTAACACTAAGTTGGGTGAATAAGTTAAAAATACGGTTAAACAAATAATTTATAAAAAAAAATTGTTTAAAGATATCAATAATAAAACTAACAAAACACAACAAAAACTAAACTGTAAGTACCCACCAAAATATTAATATATAGAAAACCTGTTTAAATTTTCTCCTTTGACAGCACTCTTTGTTATATTATTTTAATCATAAAATTGATATTTGTAAACATAATAGAAACTTACTTGAGTTTCACTTGATTACTTGGTTTTTTTAGATTTTTTTATAAATTATTAATATGTTTTCCACATAAAGAGGAAAACACAGAAGGCAATACATGCGGTAAGATAATGTCGTTTTTGGGTGGGGTAAAAATTACATTTTGTTAAAATTTTTTTTAATAAAAAACAATCATTCATTAAAAATATTACCTATATATTATTATACATTATTAGTATATATATATTTTGTATATTATTAAGTCAAAATTTGTCACAATTACTTTTGAACGCAGTAATTAGTATTGCCCAGCTACAAAAGTTTTTATTTTTACAGTTGGATTTATAAATTTAATTTTATAATTTGCCCATTTTGTAGTGATTAGATACCGGAAAAAAAGAACTTAAGTAACAACTTTATTGTATTTAAAAAAAAAAATGTACGCAATGTTTAATTTATCTTAAAAATCGGTATTATAAAAAGTTTTTTCTGGAAACCAGTTTTTTTTTAAATTTACCATTTAACAGCTTTTTTACCCAAGATCATTAGTTATAAAAAAATATTGTAAAGTTTTAAGTACTTTTATCGATTTTTATGTTTTTTATTGATCTGCCAAATTCTACGAAAACATTTTTTTTATTAATATTTTAAAGCCGTTTTTGGAAATATATTATATTTAGTTAAAGTTTAGTATATTTAGGGGACGAAAGGGACACAAAAAGGGACAACAAAGTTGGAACTGGCCTTTTACCTCACCATGCTAATCACGTCTTTTGGGCCTTTTGAGCCGTAGTGGAATATGTTTTAGTACTACAATGTCTATTTTGGTAAATTTTTATGAATTTTCATAAATTTTGATACATTTTCAAAATTTTGCCTATTTCTAATAAAGTTGCTGCTTTGTGTCTTCTTAATTTGCGGTAATTTCCTAGTATTCCGCTTCCCGTCTTACAACAGCATTAGTAAAATCGCCCACCTTTATACGATATATTTAATTTTGAGGCAAAAACGAAAAGCACAAAAACGTTTTGTTTATTGCATTTAAATGAGAGGTACATTTCAGGTAAAAAATTTACATTTTAAAAGTCGAATTTGGTACTTAATTTTTCTTACTACTGGCAACACTGCTTCTGCACCACATAGCTACCCGGCACCGATGTGGTCTAAAAGACTGCCGATGTTTGTGGAGCACATTTGAAACAAAAGCACGGTGAGGTTAAAAAATAGTTTAAAGATGTGGAAAACTAAACCAAAACTATCAAGAAAATTGAATATAAAAATACATATTATTTAATATTTAAGGTAGGAAAATTCGTATCAAATTAAGAAAATTTTGTATTTTTTATATTTTGTATTTATACGAAATTTCCTTGGTTTTAAATTAAATAAAAACGACTAAACTAAATTATAATTATATAATATAATATTACATTTAAATAGACCACGTACCTACATAAAGAAGGGAAGTTTTTTTGCTATAATATATTATTTTAAATTCAAACACCTAAAACACCCTAAATAAAAATAGTAAATTGAATTTGAACAAAAACAAGTTTAAAAAGTAACTTATTGGTATATTACAAAATACAAATTATTTTTTTTAGTTTAAAAATTGAATTCATATGTTCTAAACGTTATAAACGAATATCTAAAACCGTCTTACTTGTTTGATAATAAAAAATTTTAAGAATTGTTCGGTTTTATTTTGTTATTCATTTGAATTATTTTGATAAATATGAAGTAATTATAGCTTGTAATATAATTTCTCAACAATTATTTTTTAACAGTTAATTCCCATAATTTTATTATTTATTTGACAATGACCTTTGCTGTTTTCAATGTTATGATAAAACAATTCCTATAAAATTTCCATACAATTTATTTAAGTTTTTATTTATAGGGAGTACAGTTGTAGAAAAAATAACAGGAGACAGCATAAGTACAGAGGCGGTCAAAAATATTATTAAAACATCCAAAGCTGGAAGAAAAAAATTGCAAAGAGTTAATGTTAATATTAGTATTAAAGGGATATCAGTCTGTGATCTACAAGGAAATGATATACTTAAAGTTTCTATCTATAGGTTAGTAATTAAAACAATAAGATAAAAGTCTTATTCAACTAACATCGAACATAACTTTATTATTTGATTTTAGAATTTCCAATTGCTCAACGGATCCAACACACAAACAAATATTTTCATTTGTTTCAACTGACACAAATGAAACTATGGAGTGCCATGCCTTCGTATGTTCAAAAAGAAAAATAGCAGAAACTGTGACTTTGGCTGTAGCGCAAGCTTTCGGTACGGCTTACGAAGCCTGGAGGCTTTTGCCTAGCACCCAGGATGTCCAAAAAAATGCTGCCAACGTTCTAAAAAACGAGCCTGAATCTTCCAATAAAAATATCGAAGATTTCACTAATCAATCCAGTCAATCCAGTCAAAGACAGAGATATGAAAGCGTTCAAAGTGAAGCAAGCACTGCTACTGTTACTGAAGAGGTTTTAATAGACTTTGAAAGCGATGTGAAAGCTCAGAATGAATTTCAAATGTTTAGTAACCCTTGGGTAAGAATTTGCAGGAAGAAAATATTTTAAATTTATTAACTTTTCCTATTTTAGGTTGTTTTTGAAGATGACTTTGCAAATGAACCCCCAAAGAATTTTAATAGATCAGGTTTTATTATTGCTTGATTTATTGTTTTGACAAAATAAATTTAAAGCTTAAAAATCTTGAGAATTTTCTGAATTTTTATATTCATCACATATTAATATATTTTTGACTAAATTCATTATAAATTTGTGTTGATTTGTTCTTTTGTAATATACCTAGATAGTGTGTTTTCTAAAATATATAATATATTTATTTTTATTAGGTTTTATTTATTGTACCCAAAAAATAAGTCTATTTATATTCATATATTTCTACAGAGTATCCGGTATACCAATGGTATACTTTTTTGTTTTATATACCAGAGATTTGTTTTCTATTTTCTCTTTTGACAACCCTATCTCTCTAAAAATAAAATAGTCAAAATTCTACTATTTGAATTAGTACCAGCATTTTTTACTAATAAAATAGTCGTTTTCACTTTTAAATAGTTATTTACTACGTAAATAGTTAAAGTTTGACTAATTTAAGATTAGTCACCATCTTTGACTATTTCTGAGAGTTAAAAGTAACTAATTTCTTTAATCGTTTGCGACCAACAACAAAGTATTATTTGAATTAAATGCATATACCTAAGCTCCATGGTTAAATGACCCATAAAAACAAATAAAGATGCAAACTGTTTAGCTCAAAAACAGCAACACAAATAATATATTCAACTAAAATATTATGAACAATATTTTTTGACAAATAAAATTGATTTTTATAAGAGCGGCTGATGGCCGAATGACAAGTGACAGACCTGAGTTCAATCCCCGGCTGGGTCAAAACTTTTTTTGAATTTAAATCTACTAATTTGACTATTTAATTCAGTAGAATTTGACTAATTATTAGTGACTGCTTTTTCGCTATGACAATTAGTCAAATATGACTTATAATTAGTTATTTTTGACTAATTCACTTTAAGAGATTAGGCAACAAAATATACATCAAATACCATGACTTCCAAAGACTAGTAGGGTTAAAATTTATTTACAGGCACATTTCAGTCCCTGGCATAAAAAATATTTTTTTTCAAGCATTACCTTGTTAGTAACAAGTTGTTACACATACCATTCCTGTGTAAAGGCACATATTTTCCAGTAAAAAACAAAGTACGGTAGCTTTTGTATAAAAAAAATAAAAGTAACGAAGTTTAAAATGACAAAATGTAACGCCGGTCACATGTCCCTGTCGTCTGTTTATTATGTTAAATCTGTTCCATTTTACTGTCCAAAGTTGAAAATAAATATTTAAATAATTTACGATATAGAAACAGTTACGTAATATTTTAATCAATTTTTCTTATACTCCTCTTTACAATATCAAAGTTTCGGTAGTGCCTTAAAGCTGTGTCCCCCAGATTGTGCGTAACGCCGGTAGCACTCCATATACGCTCACATTTTTGCCGCCAGAGGCGCTAATATTAGTCTTTATTATTTTGTGTTACGAAAACTTTGCTGCTAGTGATTTTGCATTAAATAGGTAAGTTTTCATTAAATTTACTTAATTTTTCCTCAAATTATGAAAAAATTAGTTCATGCGTATGTTTTTGTGTCGTAACAACGGTCACATGGCATATTTTTAATATTCTTCAAATTTCTTATTAATTGCTAAATATAAAAGTATTTTATTTATTTATTTATTTACATCAATATATGCGTTCATAATAAATATGAATATTTTTTTATTTCGTTATTACGTTTTACAAAATTTGTTTAATAATCTATGATTTGAACGTGTGACCGGCGTTAAAAAAGGTTGCTTAAAGAAGATGCCGGAAATTCAGAAACCTACATATCCAGTGCGGACACATACAAAATTTGGTAGAAGAAACCTGTACCAACTAAAAAACTTGGGGTTTTTTAAAATACACCGACTTTTATTTTTTAACTTTTATTTTTCGAAATTGGCCCGTAAATAAATTTGAATTTTGAATTTGACTAATTATTAGTGACTGCTTTTTCGCTATGACAATTAGTCAAATATGACTTATAATTAGTTATTTTTGACTAATTCACTTTAAGAGATTAGGCAACAAAATATACATCAAATACCATGACTTCCAAAGACTAGTAGCAATTTAGTAAGGTAAAGTGAAGAAGTCGTCTGTTGCTCAGGACCGTAGCCAGAGTGTTTCTGCTGCCAGGGCCATGGTCTTCATAGCCAGGGCAGTATTTTGCTTTAAAGCCACTATTCCCATGGTGGGACAACTTTTTTCTTAATTTTTTGGAAATCTAACTTTATAATGAAATAAATCTAAATAAATATATAAAAATACAAAGAAAAGTTGCGATTTAGCGAATAAGTCACGATTAGTCATTTTTTTCAAGTAATAAGCGTTTAAAAAAAAGCACCAAATTTCTGGTGGGTATATTTTTTTTTAAATGCATAGAAACGTTTTTAGTGAGGCAGTAAATTTTAATCAAAAGGGTCGATTTGGCTTAAAATGTACCATATATTGCAGTTTTATTAAATATTAGGGAGTTTTAGTTTTAGTTTTTATTATGCAGGAAAATAATTAATTTTTAATTTGCTATATTAAAATAGTATATATAATATATATTATGTTTGATAAAAGCCATTTAAGTTTTAGTCACAAATTAAATTCACAAAACTTTTATACAACAAATTCTTAATATTATCTAAAAATGATTTAAATTAAAAATTTGTGTAGAGCGACATCTACAAAACAAAAGAGTAATCATTTTTGGGAATCTGTATTACTGGTGAAAATGTCAAATTTTTATGTGTAAATCAAAATGTATCCCTTGAAAATATATTAACCACCCTTTAAACCTATTGAGAAACTATTTAATACTTTTTTATTTTTGTATTGAGATAATGAATTAATTTAGCCATTTAGTAGGTATTATTTAACAAGAAGGGCACTTTATTTTAACGATTTTATGACATTTGACAACTGTCAACCAACTTAAAACTAACTTTAGCCCGTGACTAAAAACCTGTTGCTATTTTCAGCCCGTAACTAAAACGCCTTAAAGCCACAACTTGTCAATGTGTATTTAAAAGGTCACTTAGTGTTATGGAAACATGTACGATAATGGGCGTTTTAAAGGTATGAGGAGAAAAAATATATTAAATTTTAAATTATTTTGAGATTCCCTGCCAGGGGCCAAAGTTTTGCCAGTCAGGACAATAAAAGACATTTTCACGATAAAATTGAAATTAAAGAAATGTTAAAAAAATTATACGTCTTGGATAACTATCCACAAATATGGTAAAGAAATTTTACATTATTTAAAAATATTACAAGAACATTGTTTTTAAATTTTAATTTCAATACCCCGTATCTCAGTAAGGAGTTAAAGAAGTTTTAAATCTTTATATTTTGGGCTACGGATTCTTCAGTTAGCTAATTATTTGGTAGGGTTCTGTTATTAATTAAAAATTGTAAAATCAGATAATAAAGTTAAAAAAATTTTGGTTTAAACTTTGAACTTTAAAGTGCCTTTGTTAATCTGTTAAAAGCTAATTTGAGTTTCAGAGGTTTACCAAAATAGCATTACAAAATCAATATTGTTTAATGAAAACAGTGACAATTCTCAGTATAAAAGAATTTAAGTAATTTCTAAAATATACATAACATAAAAGCCAGTTTGGTATTAAATTATAATAAAATAAACAAAGAGGCTTCTATAAAATCATCATGGGTATTTTTTGGGTTTAGTTTGTGTGCCGGATCCGCTATTAATTATAAATTGTACACGGTGTGCCTGAACAAGTCTCAGGTCACATAAAAATGTCAACCAAAACGGATTGTATTTTTGGAATATGCATCTATTCCTCACTTCAAAACCATATTTTTCAAAATCCTATAAGATCGGAATGAAACTAGAGAATCTCTAGTTTAAATTACATTTTAATTTCTGTAGCTATTCAAAATATGGCTGCAAGAAAAAAGGTGCAATGGTGCAATTACCTTATTAACACGCTTACACAGCTTTAAGCAGTTTTTTAAACAAAGTAGACCATGCCTCAGCGAAAAAACAACTTATATGCAGTAATTTGTTATCAGTGACAGTTAATAGTATCTATTGGTTATAGAGAATTATTCTCTCGATAATTTTGAAGTTTTTGAAATAAAAATGACTACAAACGCAAGATTTGAAGAAAATAGAGGTATAGTCTGTGCCCAATGCGGTGAAAAGATAATTTTTGGAAAATCCCTGCCCAATAGCATGTTTGTAATAACTGCAAGATTGGAAAGATTGCTTGTTAAATTTAGTAATCTGAAATATAGTCTAAGCAATATCAAGTTTTTAACTGCAATTTGCGGTACATGCAGGCATACTCTTTGCGAATATGAAAAAAATATTAAAACATGCAAGATGGTGAAAATGCCAGACTTTTAAAAAGAAAATGTTATTACTAGGAATATCCAAAATGAGGTGTGTGCGTGCAGAATATGCACAACAGCAAGATTCAAAGAAAGGTAACACGAGGAAGGGGAAATACAAAAAACAAGAAGAAAAGGGCCCAGCATACCTAAAATAAAATTATTTTGGGCAAAATCTGTTTGACAAGAGTTGGTAAAGGAAAAAAACATATATGTACGAATTCAGAAAGACATGGAAATGTCGTCAATATTATAAAAAAATTTACGCCGAAAACTCAAGAACAAGTCGTTTCTTTAGTTCTCAAGACCCGAGTATTAAAATCTAATAATTCATCATCTTCACGCAAAAATGCTTCTATTAGTCTAACGAAGATTGTCTACGGAAGATTGTATTAGATTTTTGAACGGTGGTCTGAGCAGGCTGGGGAGTCGATCCTTCGCGAGTTTATAAAATACTGGAATAGTATAAAATCAATTTACTTGAACATCCTGATTATGATGAACATTTAAAAAAAGCTGTAGTAGACTTTAGTTCTAACAATTTGTAAATGATTCATAGTTTTCTGTAAAGTAATTTCAGGTATCATTATTGTTTAATAAATTACAAGATAACTATTATAATAATTTAATTTTTATTAATACTAAGACTATAGTCTCTTGTCAAATTAGAAAATTTATTGATTTATAAAAAAATATAAATAATGATTTTTTTTCGACTCTCTCTTTATATTTTAATTCTTGATTCTTTATTGAAAATTGATAGGTCATACTAATATTTTAGCGGAGTCACTTCATCAATTTTTGCAAAAAATCCAGAAAATTGCAAAAAA